ATTAAAAAATATTATGAAAAAATATATAATGTTCGTTTATCATAGCATAAACGACTTGTTTATAGTATTCATGTGGACCGGTTGTGTTATAACTACGCAATGGAAATATACGGTATCTCATAAATCAGTAAACAGTACAAAGAAATTTAAGTGTAATGAACATGGTGATAATTTTTGTATTTTACCTATGACGAGAAATGGTACAACACCAACAATGCTGACAAACTCAACCCCGATTGCTGCACATAATCCAAAACTCGAGACAATAGCAAATCCAGCTGCAAGGATTCCAGCAAATCCAAGCCACATTCTCTGACCAACCTGATCTGTAAATCTGAAGATAAAAATTAGTCCGTACTTGATCTATACTGTATCGGAACTACTTAGGTAAAGTGACGTCTCACCCTATTCACTATAGCGAAGGAAGACCACATCTGCCCCTATGTCAATTATTTTAGGCACGAGCAAGTAGACCAATCCATAGTTCTCTTACATAACAAATATAAAGTACCCAGCAGAACTCGAAGCTTAAGCGATGAGTAGTGTACTAATCTTTTAGGTTATTTTTGTTCAATGCGTAAATTATGTAAAGATGTGCAACCGATTCAAAGTAAAAATATGAATGTAATTGCCCATGGATTTGTTAATTTTCACATATTTTTACGCTAATGTTTGTTGTTTGTTTCTCCGTAACAATGTGATTTAGTCAATTTGAGTAGAACGAAAACACTTAATATTTGATCCGAAAACGGTTCTCTCTTATGATTAGAATCTATTGTTATTGGTATTTATAGATCAGAAACTATTTATTTAACTGACTTAAAAAAAGATTGTCACTATTTTAGCTAAAGTAATATTCAAAAGCATCACTCACAGATGTTGATGTCAGGGTTTTAAAACAACTGAAAATATCCTTACTTATAATACTCCATGTTTGTAACGTCCCTTTTCATTGGATAACCGTGACGTTTATGTTATTAGTTATATAGATTTTTTGAAAGGTTATATGGCCCTATATAAACGGTTGTTTGGAAATATAACCCGAGCAGCAGCCGTGTATAAAATACTATATAAACGTCACAATTTTCCAATGAAAAGCGATGTTACAAAAAAACTTTATAATAATTATTGAACGATTTTTTTTTCAAAAAGACAAAAGGAAACAAACAAACACATATCAAATACGTTTGCAGTAATATAAGCACAGGGATAATAATGAACATAAGAAGGTACCTGGCAGAAAGGCATGCTATACATGCGTATGTGATCATCAAAGAAATGGTAGCAGCAAATAATGCTATGTCCCCGGATACATTCTTGTCAATTTCCTCATCTAATGAATTAAGGTGACCATATGCTATGTCTATATTACTGCTGGAGAACGATTCTAGTCTCACTCTGAATGCATCCACCTATGTATGTAAAATATATATGTTATAGATTCATTGTCCTCCTAGTTCATAATTATATTTGCTTAAAAAAAAGAAAGATGAGCATGAGGTCACTTTTTAACATTTATTTTACCATAATATAGCTGGAACTTTTGCTGGATGCCATTCATACCCTACCAATATCATAAAGTTATCGAAGCTGATTTCCGATAGTTCAAAAGAAGAATAAACTTTTCTTGCAAAAAATATATAAAGAAACTGTCATTTGTGAAATGAATGGCAGCTTTACAGGGTGATAGAATTAACAGATTTTAAGTGTAGAATAAAAGATTAAATAAAAAATCATAAAATACATGATAAATAAAAAAGGCAGATAAACACGTAGAGACTTTTCAGCGACAGAATAAATTATAAAAAATAATTATTTATATTATTAAAATATCTAAATAAATACAGAAATCCGGCAAAGCAGCAGCATGGCTTCGTGTAATATATTCGTAGTGCACAGACGAATACAATTCACATCATATTCACGTTGCCGAGGAAGTAATTTCATATCAAGAGAAAATACTTAAAGGCACTCCAATGAGGTTAAAAACCTCAAAACATTACATTTGAATTTCTTACCTTACAAAAATGAGCTGGAGCACTTTAAACATATATGCAAAGATAGTTAAGAAATATACTTTGAAATAAATTGAAAATCGTATTTTTATTTTTTTCTTAGCCAGATTTGAGTTAAAAGCGTTAAAACGCTATTCATTTTGGATCATTTTTTTACCAATTGAATAATTATCTGAAAAAACAAAAGGCCTGCGAATTTGATCTAAAAATTTGCACTGAAATTAGCTAAACTGCATTCAAATGGTACATTTATCTGGAAAAAATATTTTCAGTCCCATCGTGTCAAAAAACCTCAGTGGAGTCCCTTTAAAGTTTATGTCTGTGTCTGAAAATCACTGAAAAGAAACAAGTCGGAACTTTTTTTTTGGAAAAAAAAGTCATACACTTAAGCTTTCATACATGATAAGTAGGCCGAATAAATGTTTGATATTAAATAACGTTATACACAATAAAGAATTATGTCCCCATCCAAAGATAAAAGTCAATCACATTCAATTTGCCATAATTCTTCAATTTAAATTTACTAGCATATGATCATAATAAACCACGAGGTAAGGGAAAATTCTCAAAATACCCGCTTTACATTTACCATAATGTGAGTATAAATAAGACTGGAAATCTTTTTTATATTTTTAGACAGATTTATATTTTAACCAATACGTTTTCAAATCAATCACCATTATAACAGCCAATCTTTTGAAATGTATAGTCAATTCAGCTCAACTTGACGGTGGATTTAAGAGCATAAGATCACTTTAAATGTATAAGCACGTTGAATCTAATAGGTTTGCAATAAATGATACAGTGATTTAGCTTCTAATAAACAATAATTCAATACAATCCTACTATATACATGTACTTGCTAGAGGGAAGTAAGAATGAGAAAACTAAAATTTAAGTTAAACCCATTTATCTGCCTTCTTCTTATACAGGTCACCATCCGTGCGTATGTTGAACACAATCGTTAAGTAGATTACTTTCGTCAGGTACTGACCTGTGCCGTCAAAACTTAAACTTCCTGAAAAACAACAACAGGCTTGTTTCATTTTCTGGTGTTCACAGTAATTCGCAAACTCACATGTACTCTGTATTCGTTTGCGTCTGGGTCGTTTTGTGGTTCAAATTAGCTTTGAAAAAAATACACTTTCCGCTGCAATCCCCCGTTTTCCTCTCAAAATATTTTTATTTTTATACAGAAAAATTAACTGATTAAGCAATTGAAATTTTCACAAAATTGATATTCGTTGTAGGAAATCACGAGAATACAAGCAGCTCCGGACACATTTTTATAAAGATAGTCTCTATATGTTTACATAGTAACATTCATGGCTAATTTTAAACAATCTGTCCAGTGAACGGTTGAAAAAGATTTTTTTTAAATATCTTTATACATAATCATCATAGTTTAACAAGGTTTTAGTCCTTACCTCCTACATCACGAGCATAATTCTGCGTTCCTTTTGTTGTTGAGTTGAAATTCTGGGTACGTGGACAACGTTATTGTCCACAGCCGTGAGAAAGTCCGGTCCCAAAATAGTTCTCCGCCTAACGAACATTGTGAATTACTAATGGCGCAAACATCTGAAAAACTGTAGCAGATTTTTTTGTTTACAGCCGCACTAGTATAGAGAAAACGTTTGCTGGACTTGTTCCATAAAAGATAAAACTTGATTATGGGGGGGGGGTGGGTTACAACAACACAATAATTGTCACATGGCGACTTTCCATCTGTACTGGTGGAGGAAGACCTCAGATCCTCAGGTGCCACTCCTTGAATTATTTCAAGCCCGATCAAGCATTCGAGTTTAACCACCGGATTCCGTACGCTAGCTTGATAGCTTCTTCACATGTTAGAATCCAAACTGCACTTGCGGACTTTGAACACACAGCGGTGAAGGACAAGTGATTGAAAGTCAAAGACTTTAACACTAAGCCACAGATGCCTCGAAAAGTAGGATAAGGATCGAAATGAAACATGTAAAATATTGTTAATCATAAAACATATTTTCTTACCGTAAATGAATGAAGTTTTAATGTTTATATAAGCATGACGATAGAAAGGCGATTTTTTACGATAAGATCTAATGGAAAATGACAGAGAGTAGCTTGATGATGAATATGCCAAAAGGCACTCCTGAACAAATTAAAGGAAGTATAAGGTATTAAGATATGTAAATGTCTTTAAACTGACTGGCGGTTCAAACCACAGGAACATCAACTTTTTTTTTCTTTTTCATTCATCTTATATTGAATTATAAACAAAAATAGCATTACATTTATTGTTGAACCATCACCATCCGTGGTCACGATATTTTGAATAAGTTCCGACAATGCTTTTATTTCCTCCAGTACTGGTCTGTCCAGAAGGTTACCAGTTTTTGATTTTACAATTATCCCCGCAAAATATTGTCTGGGTACAGTCACGTGCAAGGAATTATAGTTTGAGCCACTGAGATCTGGGAAAATACTCTCCACTCTATCTTTGTCCTTGCGTGCTTGAGTTCCTGAAACAAAAGTCACTTTGTTTCCATAAACTTTGAAACAATATTTTGGTAAAAAAAAAGAGTCAGGACAGATTCAGCAAAGTAAAGTGCAATATTTAAAGGTGTGTGACATTAATTTTGTTCAATACTTAAAGTAGTCAATTGGAACCCATATTGGCGACTCAGTGGAAAAAAGTTCTTCAGCCTCTCTAAGGATGATTTTTTAGATAAAATCGTTTCATATCATTCCGCTATTTATATTCAAAGTAGTAAAGCGGGCGATTCGTTTCCCGATCTTCTTTTTTTACAAACGAAGTCATTGACGTGTTTTAAATAGCTCTCAGGGCGGTGTTTTGTGAGAGGCTTAACAGAAAAAAATGCACTTTTCTAAGATAAAATGACTTCAATACTTATTTGAAAACAACACAGTATTGTTTATCCAACAGACAGTAAAAGCTGAAGGCCGCTTTAAAGTGAAATTGCCTATAATAGAAGATCTGTAATACTATTAATAATTATGTTGATAGCATTCAGTATTATAACACGCCCGGCAAACTGTCGCTCCACTTCAAAATTGTGGTGTACGGTAAAACGAGCGAACGGCATTTCCGAGATAGAGCGGAAGGCCGATTTAAACGCCTAATTGTAAGTATTGTTTATGTTTTTGTCTTGTTATTTATTTAAGTTGTATTTTTTCGGAAAACGGAAAATGTAGTTCCGTGTAGGATTGATTTAGGCTTCCAATGATCTAAGCTGTTACAAAAAGAAAATTATATTAAGCCCGGGAGAACTTTTCTCCCTGACGAAGCGAACGATGATTTGTAGAATATTGAACTTCCAAACCACAGAAATGCCATACCTTTCGGATTTCTTGAAAAAGTGTATTAGTAAATTATCAACCCGTAATAAGAACTTGTCCTTCGTGCAAAATAAATTACTCCTGAAGGATTTCTTAAATTTGTAAATCGATATTTTTCGAAAATAGTGGAGCGAAAGGGCGAGAGACGGAGCAAAAGGTTCGATGTTGAGCGCAAGGCGATATTAATTTGACGTATTAGGAGGAACGTAGTCAATGTTTTTTTGTAAATAAAAGCTATAGAAGTTACATGATCAAGTGTTAAGACCGAGATGTATATACCTTTGAAAGAGAACTAATAAAGTGTGATATCCTTTCAACGACTATAGCGTAATAAATGTAATCGCGAAGGTGTCACCTATGGCTTCCGTCTAGATTCCATTATTTATGTTCAAAATTTGGATGATGCCCGACCATTGAATCATACACATGTATGCATGGCATAATACAGGATGCCACTTATTCGAGGTCAATCATGATTTTTGACACGGTTATTTACATTTAAAAACGTGTGTCCGTGCAAATGCGACAAAGTCGAATATTTTTAGTTCTACCGCGAACAAATGTTTCCGAGCAGGTACGTGTAACTCGATTGTTTACGCCAAAATGTTATGTTTTTCGAAAAGTTAGATATTCAAGGTGCAGAACAGAAACAAAATTATGCAATGCATGGAACACATTAAATTAAATGGATCACTACTACCAAGTTCAGTTCACGATGACTTTCTGTAATTAATAGCTCTAACGTACCTGTTCTGGGCAAAACACAAATAAGTCACGTTTTCATGAATTTGTAAGGTGGGGAATCGCTATGAAAATGGTTGACAAGGTGTCATTCGTTATAAGGATATAACACGTTTTCCAGTTATGTTTCAAGATACTTCCTCCCTTATTTAGCATTGTTGTTTAGTTTATTATTTTCCTCTCAAAGTGAGGCAGAACTCAGTCGGTGTACGGACTAAAATTATCAATAATATAATAGACCTAGTTATAGTAGAAATTTCTATTTACACTTTCAGACGAACTTATTATAAACTAAACAACAATGCTAAATAAGGGAGGAAGTATCTTGAAACATAACTGGAACACGTGTTATATCCTTATAACGACTGAAACCTTGTCAACCATTTTCATAGCGATTCCCCACCTTACAAATTCATGAAAACGTGGCTTATTTGTGTTTTTGCTCAGAACAGGTACGTTAATACACTTTTTCAAGAAATCCGAAAGGTATGGCATTTCTATGGTTAAAAGTTCAATATTCTACAAATCATCGTTTGCTTCGTCAGGGAGAAAAGTTCTCCCGGGCTTAATATAATTTTCTTTTTGTAACAGCTTAGATAATTGGAAGCCTAAATCAATCCTACACGGAACCACATTTTCCGTTTTTCGAAAAAATACAACTTAAATGAATAACAAGACAAAAACATAAACAATACTTACAATTAGGCGTTTAAATCGGCCTTCCGCTCTATCTCGGAAATGCCGTTCGCTCGTTTTACCGTACACCACAATTTTGAAGTGGAGCGACAGTTTGCCGGGCGTGTATAAAGGATAATAAATTAAACATGAATTCATTATATATGAATGCTGTTGGTTAGTGTTTGATACATGATCCGAAATGTCATAACAATATATAGCAGATGATAAAGTGTTTTAGAACAAAATACTACTGTGCATCATATATATATATATATATATATATATATATATATATATATATATATATATATATATATATATATATATATTATATTATATTCAATCATAATCACTTAAAGAATTATATCAAACATTTTGTTTTCCAGAAATATTTCATAAAAAGATATCCAAATGATACATTTCTGTTGTTTAATAAATATTTGAGTTACTTATGTAAAATGTGACTATTGTAGACCAATCCACTTTAAATTTTTATCAAAAATAATGTTTGAAAGCTTTGTAAGAAAGAGTAAAGTCTTTCTATTTTAAAGACCCTGGATGGGGTAAAGGGGAATTGAACATGTAATACCTGAATTTATACCGACACTATTTTGCTGGGTCTTTACGTCGCAATTACACGGTAAAGGGAATATGTCCAGTTTCCAGCTTTACTGGCAAAGGAAGACTTCAGGTGCCCCTCCGTGAACTATTTTAGGCACAAACGACTAGAACCGAACCACCGACGTCCCATACGCTGGCTGGATAGCTTTCTCATTGAAAGAACCCAAAGTTCCTGGCGGGATTCAAATTTACAGTAGATAGCAGAAGAACGACTCGGCCACGGTCAAGCGGTGTACCTGCCGTCATACGTAGAACTAGTTTGAAATTACTGTTCACTTCAATGCTATATAAAATCGATTCATTGATACAGTGTACACGTACCTTGCGGTAGATATAGGTTTTCAGCGTCTGTGTTAGATTGAAGTCTCATCATTCCAATACCAAGCGCTCCATTGATAATGATCGTGGCAACAATAATTTTCCAGGCATGATGGGAAACAAAACGGCCATATTTCGCAAAGACGCTTCCAATCTTCCGCTCAACGGTCTCATATATAGTGTTACATCTCATTCTTCTGAAAATATTTATCATTTAGTGCTATTATACCTACCAAATATTGACAAGTATTTACTTTCTTGATTAATGCTGGTATCTATGAAATAAGCTAAATATAAATGATTGTATTTTTTTTTCCATTTATCACCCCATAACCTGTTAATTTTGTGAAGTGTTTGTCTTACTTTGAATTTGGAAACAGTCTATATAAATGATTTCAATAACTTTCTAAAAGTGTGTACAAACTGTATATAACCTGATGGAACTACATGGATGTGTAGGCTGAGCTTCCAGCGCTAGACTGCAGACACTGGCTTATCACTTTTAAGAGGTTTGCTTATGATTTGAGAAGTGAAGAACATGTGAGCCGCGTCACGACAAAACCAGCATCCGTGCAGTCTGATCAGGATCCATGCTGTTCGCTATCAGTTTCTTGTAATAGGGTTTGTTATCGAAGAGTATGGATCCTGATCAGACTGTGCGGATGCGCAGTCTGGTCTGGATCCATGCTGGTCGCAAACGCATAATGTTGGTTTTGTCGTAACGCGGCTCATATGCCTATGGTCAAAGTAAGTGTAAATGACATTTATGAGAGCAGGTTTATATGTCAAAAATCAAAACACACATGTTTGTCAATAGTCAAAGCACGTGCATTCGTTAATACTCCAAAATCTTTTTTTTTTGTTTCTAGTTATTTTAAAAGCACACTAACTATATTTTCTATCCCCAAAAGAAACATATTTCATACTAAAGCTATCATCGATAACATTTTTTTTACATTGAGATCGGCTTGTTAGTCTGTTGGTTTTTTATTTTTAAATACATAAATATATATATATATATAGTTATACTTCTTGAGTAATATTATACAATATAATGTAATGATAACATTACCTGTTGTAGTTGGAATCCAATTTTACAACACATTTATTTATTCCTCGCTATGGTCCATATATCAAAACACCTTTGAATAATTGATTCCCTTCTCTGCGAATAAATTTATATTACAAAATAATTTTTTTACAAAGGCAGTGTTGAGAGTTGAATAACTTAAAAAATATATATTCATGTAATAACAGTAGTGTCGTTGTGATAGCGAGAGGGAGTTGGGGGTATGGGCAGGTTCTGTTCAGGGGATTATGACGTAATGTTTATCTTTTGAAGTGGTCTTCGAGTGTACTTGAGAGGTAGAATATCCTTTTGAAGTGTTTTTCAATGGCACTTGAAAGGCAAAGTGTCCTTTTAAAAGATGTTTAATTAAAAATAAAGATGGCGGATATTTGCATAATTAAAAATAAAGATGGCGGCTTGTTCCGTAATGAAAAACAAATATGGCGGATAGTTTACCTGGCAACCAATGGGGAGAGTGATGCATGAATGAGTGATTATAGGCAGTATGTGTGTGTATTGAAATGTTTTCTCAATAAACATTATTGATTAATCTCAATTGAAGCTTGGTTTATTACTTTAAACAGGATTGATTATTATAATTATTATTATTATTATTATTATTATTATTATCATATTTTGTGATTATAATTATTATTAATATTACAATTATTCATTTCTTCTGTCATAATCATTATTAAATCATGGGAGAAAACGTGGCAGAGAAGAACGGCTCAAATGTCGCCCATACAGATTAATGTGCATGTTGGAATTTTCATTACAAACATATTACGCTAAGGCAGTGGTGAACAAACTGGAAAAGGTCGCGCGCTTACTTTGTGACGGCTGCAAGCACGAATACCTGCCTCAGTTTCACCACTCGTGCATGATGCTTGGCCGGGAAAGCAAGCTCGAGCACTATTTCTGGGACGTGAATGAAACATTGGACGACGAAAAAATAATCGAACAATAGATCACAGACATACACGGATCCCGATTGAGCCGTCCTGGACTTATTCGTGCTGAAATACAGATGTAAGGACTATAGAGAGACAAGAATGAAAAACAACAACTGGCAGGGAAGCGTTTCTAAAATAGCCTAGACAATGCTGTCTATAGAAAAACTATAACGGTGTGATAGGTAAGTTAAAGGAATTTGCTGTTTTTGCAAGTTGTATGTTTTCTCGTTACTTTTTTATGTTTATGAGAATCAAATGATAAATTGACTTTGTAAAATGAGTTAAATGATCGTAAATAATTATCTTCATTAAAAAAATCGCTAGCGCGCAATAGTACGTATATGATGCGATTTCCTTTATTCGGATAGTCTAGCAATGGAGAACGGTGACCTTAGTCAGTTTAAAAGCAGGGACTGTGAACACTTCACGGATAAAAATGATTCCTTTATTAAATTTAGAGCTCCTGCAACTATGTTACTCGTGAGTTTACATAATATGTTTTACAGGATTATTTCATATGCTAAACTATGGAAGCCTTGGATCTTCACTTTTGAGTTTTGACTTACGGATATTTTATTTTTGACTTTCGACTTTTGACTTTTGATTTGTGACTTACGTCTTATGACTTTTGGTTAACCCATTTTACACGTGCTCTAGAAGCTGAAAGCAGCAACTTTGGTTTCAGGTATGTTTTTAAACGTTTTAAATAATTTCATTCAGATTTGTCATGGAGGAGAGGATGTGTTAAGGAGTGAAATTTACTATTATTTCCTATAATCCCATAGTGGTAACATATCACAGACTTTAATTCCACAAGTGTGACTGTGTGTTTTGTACAATCTTCTATATTCTAAATATGTTCATTATATTAGTGCTTATACATTTTTGTTCTCATCACAAAATCTGTCCATGAGTAACAAACAAATAAGTGTTTTACAAGTAGACAGGGAATACAAGTTCTACGTCTTAAAATGGCATGGTGCACAGTATTAAACATGTATCGCAATTCAGCATTTTATTGAGCTAACACGGAATCAGTAAAGAACGGCAAGTGCTATGTTAATACACACAAGTACAAAGTTAACTTAAAATTGTAATTGAGCACCATTTGCATTTAGCATCAATGTCTAATTTTGTTGTATATTTTTACAATTGAGAAAAGACACTTAAGAATAAACGTTTATATAGAATCAGATAGAACAAAACATCCTACTAACATTTGAAATATTTTTTTCGCACCCATCAATCTTTAAAAAACGAACTAAGAGATTTACCCGTTTTATATAATATGAATGTATAATCATTTAGATAAAAGATAAACTCTTCCTTCAGACACAACTACTGGACAAAAGGTAACGAGGATGAAAACCTTGATGTTGATCTATGTCTTCATCATTATACTGTTCAGCATTACCAAAGCTACCGTGCCAAGATACCTACCCTCAACATCTATAACAAACAAAACTCTGCTGATAATAGAGTACTTTCTGGTACAGCATGGCATTACGACGTCATTTAGTACAGTGAATAGACTTTTTAAACGCTTAAATTTAAAAGGGCGTAATGGAATATATAGTTAATCTTTTTGAAACTGTGTCTGATGTTATAAACAGAGAAATACAAACAACTGGACAACGCATAGAATACCGTACAATATGGCGTAGGTTAATGCTGGATTACCACATGTACGTCAAGGGAGACGACGTCATGGAAATAAAGAGAGCGCTTGATCCGGATGGTATTCAGATGCGGAAATCTACGCCATGACATGTGACATAATGATTTTATATCCCTGATGCTGTGAATGGGTATAGTAGAAAAATAACATGATTAGAGGTTTTGGACTCAAATAACGCCCCACACCTTATTGCAAAATGCTTTTAGACACCTTTAATGAACATTATCAAGTCCCCCTCACACAATTACTAGGTTGTGATGTAGGTACGGAAAACTGCATTGCTTTACTATTGTGGCAATACTTCAAACACGATTCTACAGATCCGATAGTTGGTACTCGAAGCCTTGTAGCTGGAAAAAGCACACCTAACCAACGCATTGAGAAGTGGTGGTGTACATTACAAGAAAAAATGGTATCCATTGGTGGATTTTTTTTCAAAGACTTACGCGGTACTTGTGTATTTAATGATATGGATCCGATACAGTGTGATAACTTAAAATTTTGCTTCATGGACCTCATACAAACCGAGTTAGACCGGATTGCACATGAAATAAGGCAACAAAAAAGTTCTTCTGTTAATTGTGGTAAACCTGACACACTGTTTTTTTGTACCAGGTCTGTATTAAACTCACGACTTCGGCTGCAATTAACTTTAGAGACGTATATATTTGCAAAGAACATGTTTTCACTCCTAAGAAGACAATGTGAGGAATTCATAGAATTAGCACCCCTTCTGAAGCCAGATCTACAGATGCCATTTGACGCTGATTCAGCACTACTACTGTGTACCGAGTTAAAAGATTTGATTTTGAGAATAGATTTAATATAAATTCGCTTTGAAACGACTTATACTGATTTTTTTTCGTGTTATTGATATATACTAGGTTACTATAGGTTAAGTTTCAAAACATGATGTTTTAAAATCATCAAGACGATAGTCTATGATTTCACATCATAATATGTTTTTTTTTAAGATTTTGGTTTGTAAACATTGAGCAAATTACAATATATTTGTAAGTTATCATTAAAGTTATAACCACTTTAATTTGCACTATAAGGCATTGTAAAATTGACAACATTGTTTATTGGTATACCTAAAGGACACCAGTATGCAAAATTAAAGCAAAATATTTGGAGTTGTAGGCATTATGACTCAGAACATATACATTTTAAAAGGCTTTTTAAAATAAATACATGTATTGAAAGTCTAAAAAAATATCCCTGTAATCTCATTTAAACATGTTTTGCAAATGTTGTTTGTTTAGATGCAAATAGTAACATTCTAGTAATAAACTATGTATGTTAAATGCACGACTATTCTCGACACGATGGAAAAATGCACGGAAATGTTTCTCTACCCGACCAATTTGAACATTCTTTTATCATATCATTCTAAATTTAAAAAGTCACTAAAATTACATTTAGTCAAAGGGCTTGTATCAAAGTTTGCAAAAATCTTTCTAGAAGTATATTGATTCATTCTGTGAAAT